AAGTCGGTACAAAAATTTAGACTTATTTGAGGTAAATTACATTAACAAAACTTATTTGGTCCTAAGTGCATTTTTTTGAAGAAAGTCTAAGAGGCCATTTATTACTCTATTAATCTCTCTCTTTCCTTCTCTCTCCATTACTTTCTTCCCTATTTTCTCTCTATATATTTTTTTCTCTCTTTCTCACATTGATAGTTTTTTTTAAATATGTAAAATTTTGATTTAATTTTTTCATCTCTCTCATCTATTTTTTTCTGTCTCACTCACTCTCCCCTTATTTCCTTATTCTCTCTCCTTATATTAACGTTACAACAACACAATTACAGTAATTGGTTACACCAATTAGTTACAATTATTCTATAAATACACTAAACTGTTATTCATGTATTCTAATAAACCAAATAATTACATTAAACAATTATACGAAATTACAACACCAACCTAATTTGTCATTCAGTTGGGTTTATCATTACACAAAAAACTTTACCATTATATTAAATTTGGTATATATAATTGGTGTAACGATGTTGCGATACTAAATGATGCAACTATTTAATTTATGTAAACAATTGAATGACGAATTGAGTTGATGTCATAATTTTGTGTAACTGTTTTGTTTATTAAAATGCATGAGTAACTGTTTGATGTATTATAGAACAATTGTAATTGATTAGTGTAATTATGTTGTTGTAATGTTAATATAAATAGAGAGGGAGAAAATAGGGAGGAAGAGAGAAACGGTTAAAGAAAATAGGGGGAGAGAGAAAATAATGGAGAGAGATGAAAAAATAAATTAATTTTTTACATATTTGAAAATGAAATAAATTATCAATAATAGATAGAGAAAGAAAATAGGGGGGAGATTGAGAAAGTAATAGGGAGAGAGAGATAGATTGAGAGAAAATAAGAGAGAGATAGTGAGAGAGTCGAATGAATATTTACATATTTGATTAGATATATAACTACCAATCAAGAATGTATAATTTAAGGGAGGGTATTTAAGTAAAATATTTTTTATTTCATTTGAATTTTGTATCTAAACACAATATGTTTTTATTAAAATTGAACTTAATAAAGTAAACAATTTATCTATACAATTTTCTTTAAATAAGTCTAAAACATTGTAATCTCACAAAAAAAGTCAATTTTTTTTACTAAACACTTTTACACAATTAAGTGCTATATTGGATATTGGCCTACAAAAAACCCAAATCTAAACCTAATCAAAAATAAATTTGAGCAGTTTGGACTCATGAACCCAACCCATAATAGTAAAAATATACCAAAATAATTTTTTTTTTTTTAAAATGCAAAAGTGAGGATTAATTTTTTTTTTCAACTAGTCAACCAAAACACACCACTAAAATGTACCAAAATATTTTAGATTTTTTATAAATTTGAAAAATTAAAATCAGCAGATGATGACTTTTTAAAATTAAATGAAGTCTTTTAAAATTAAAAGAATTCTTTTAAAATTAAAATTGATAAAATATTCCTTAAGATTGATTATCATAAAAAAAGATTATGTGAATTATTAATATTATCAAAACTTAAACATAAAAAATAATCATAGTAATATTAAAAATAATGCTCAGAATAGTTCCTAAGTGTGGCGGCTACTTCCCTCTCTCTCTCGGCATTTGGTGATGTGTAAATGACCGTATTTATACTGGCACTTGTCTACAACCCCACCACTCCTCAGTCTATATTTGGTTTATTGTTACTGCCATTTAATTTAGCCCACGCTTTATTCTTTGTCCTGGTCAAAACTAAGTGTCAGGTTACCACCCCAATTCACAGCCACCATTTTTATAGCCAAATTTTCTTATATTTAATCGGTAGCTAAATCAAATCTATATAATAAAGTAGAACGAAGTTTGAATCTAAAAGACAAAGAGATGTTCAAATCGTTTTGAGACAAAATATAAATACATCAAACGGATAATGTAATTTCAATATAAAAAACGGTTCAAATCATTTCAAAAATTATGATCTAACGGTCAACAATTAGTATTAAATTTTTCTTTCCCTCTCAACACAGACCTCTGTCTCACCTCTCCCTCTCACTTCTGCCTCTCTCTGTCTCACACCTCTCTCTCTCTCTCTCCCACTCCCAAGAATCACGCTTCTCAATCCCAAAACTACATCCTATTCTATCTTTCTCGCTGTTTCACTTATCTCTCTCCCTCTGACACTGGTGATCTTCTTTCCATACCAATATGTAAAATTGGCATTCAATCCTATCTTAAGAATTCAAAATATCACCTTCCTATACCGGTGATTCTCAAATCTTGATTAAATCCCTAATGTTCCGCAAATCTTCTCTCCCTCACTCGGTGTCAAATTGATTAATTCCAGCTGCTGCTCATAACGCACAGACTCTTTGTTAGAATTCTCCGCTGCCCCGACTGATTTCAGGTACACGCTGAAACTCTCTGCTTCTCTTTTCCTCTCTCTCTACTTCTCTATCTTCACAACTTATCTCTTTCTCTGATTCCACAACCCTCATCACTTTTTCAAGCATTCGTATGGTACCGTTGTTGTGATTAGTTGTTCATGTAATTTTACATACTCCACACCAAGTGTTTGTTGAAATGTCTGAGAGAAATATAATATACTTTACCATTGATTTTTTGTTTGATTGATATGAATTTTTTTTTTCCTGCTTACAGTTTCTTAAATTTAAGGCATAATGCTTAATATCCAAAAGCATTTTATGTTGGTGCAACAATGATTTTTTGTTATTTTCTTTTCACTTTATTTTGGTCAGTAGTTGCCTAAACGATTTTGTTCTTATTTTGAAGGTTTCTGAAGGGAGCTTCAAGCATTGATCAACATTTCTATTCGACACCATTTGAGAAAAACATACTTGTATGTCCAAATGGCATGATCATTTCTCGGTTCTGTTATTTTTAATAACTTTTTTTCTAGATACCTTGGATGTTAGTTACATATTTTGATGACTTATTTTACTGTTTATTGGCATTGCTTTAGGTGCTCCTGGGTTTGTTGATCATATAGAATGTTTCATTTCTTGGCTACCTTGCAAGATTGAGTAAGATGCTACATTTAATTTCTGTCGTTTGACGATTTTCTGACAGTGTCTTCTTACTACACACCCCATGACCTTGAAGCTTCAAATTCTTGCAGGCCATTTTACCTTACTATCAAGCCCTGGAAAAGTTTGCCTCACATATTCAACAGGTTTACTTAACATAGCTTTCTGCTTGAATATTATTTTGGAATCTTTATCATAATACCCTTAAGGCCTTCCAAATTTAACCCAATTTAGGTTAGTATGGAGAGTAATGGGAAAGGAGTATCGATTGACAGTCTGCCTCTTCCCTATGAGGCTGGTGAGATTGTTTTTGGTGAACCAGGAACAAATGGTCAGCATAGCTTGTACCAATTGATTCACCAAGTAAGACATAAGTACATAGAATATGCTAATTTAGCTCGAATGTGAAACGCTTTCTTTAATTCCTTACTCCCATATTGATTAACTGTGAATATGTGCTCCTGTCATTTCATTCCTTGCTTGGTTAATTTGTTGACGTTGTGTATGAAATAGATTTTTTTTTTGTATGGATGGAGAACTCAAGCTTATTCTTTCTCATCATAGGTTCCAAATGTCTCAGTTAATTGTTTTCTCTTTGCTAAATATTTTATCACATAAGAATTATTTCTCTTCATTGGTTCTAGAGCTTAAACTAACAATATAGAATTATATTTGTTTGTCGCATAAGTTGGGTATTTATCTAATTTTTTTTAAACTTGCTTAAACTATGTGATACTTTTTCTTTCTATGAAATTGTGTTACCTATTTTGTGTTAAGTAGTTTCAGTGGGTTGGAGGTTTAGCTGACTCCTTGAATAATGAATGATGACATCAGATGCCTATTTGTGGATTGGAGGCTTAGATGCCTATTTGTTGAGTTCTCATAATTGTCCATGGTTTGTTGCTATCTTGCTTTGGTTTTAATCTATTGTGTTGAATTTTGTTGTGATCTTCTGGGCATTTGTTGCAGTGGTTATAGGTGGTGATGGTTTTGGAAAGATCACGTAAGTGACTTTTAGTTCTTTTTTTTCCTTTTCCTGTTTGGTTAGTTGTGTAATTTGGAGTATTCCTGATTTAATGTAATTTGTTTTTTTGAATTTAAGTGGTCAAAGTATTGATTGATGACAACTGTTGACGACTGCCCATCTAATACCTCAGGTAACCCACTGAACGGAATAAAATTTTGAATTCTTTGGTTTATGTTCAGTTGATCTTCCAAGAAACGAAGAATGCTTACCGAAAGTAAAGATATGAAGAATATGGTAGTTAAACAAAGTATGTGTGATCAAGCTGTTTTTTCTCCCTCAGTTTGTGTTATGTTTAATTCATAGGAATGGAATTTTGCGTTATGTTTTTCAGTGTTTTATCTATTACCAAACGACGAGTTACCATTAGATTTCTATACGATTTGTTTGACGATGACTGAATATGTTATTTGTTGGATAATTGGGATGTAGGGAATTTAATTTGTCGTGTTTGAGCTTATATTTTGTGCTTTGGTAAAGAGTTCAAGTAGTTGACTCCTGATTGATTTTGTTCACTAAGCCAAAAATATTATGTCCTAATCCATCATTTGAAGTCAACATTAACCATGAAAATAAAACCACATTTCAAGTCATATTTGGAAACGGAAACAACCATTTATTCAACTTCAAAACCCTAGCTTCGTAGGGCACAAATGCCTGGGATTTGCATGGTACCTGATGGGGTGTAGGTTCCCATGCTAATCCAATGGGGAATGGGCCTGTTCTGGCTCTGCTTCTTCTTCATCATGACAACCGAGCAATGAGTCTCGGGTTTCAAGTTCGAGAACCTTCCTCTCCAAAGTGCAGTGGAAGAAGACTTGGAGCAAATCGACCTTTTTTTAACTTGCTTTGGTAAATAAGAGAAACCTATCACTGAAAAACAAAGCATTGTCAACTTTCAAAGAAAAACACAAAGGCCTATTCTCTTGGACTTTCGAGTTTCGATGAGAGGGTAAGATTGCCTCTCCTACCATTTTGTTCGCTTCTTGGAAGTCTCTTCCTTTGGAAGGTGACAGAAACTGTACTGAGAACATTGCGAATTGTATTGGGTGGTGGCAACCCGTTCCTACCAATTTCAATAGTCTTCATGTCCTTTTCTTCAACAGTTAACCATCAAAAGTCAAAATTACACATGAGCAGTGTCCGTGGACTTAAAAAATAACTTAAAATGTGTACTTGATAGTCACAATTATATTAAATAGATAATACATCCAAATAAATATTAGGACTTACAGTGAAATCAATAATTATGATTATTAAATATGTATTTGAAGTCAACATGTGTACATTATCTTGTATAAACAATGTTCGAAATAAAAATTGTATTGAATTATAAATTATTAAAAATTAAATAATGTAACTTGTGATAGAAAATGTTGATGTGATAGAAATGAGCGAGAACATATGTGAAGACATATATATATATATATATATATGTTTTTTCAGTATTCAGAAAGAAAAAAAAAATACCCATTTCTAAGTTTTTCAGTATGCCTTTCGTTGGGTAAATACTGTGGCCCTCTAAACTATGGACTCATTTTTTCTTTCGCCCTTGAACTATTGAATTTTACACAATGTTCCCTCAACTACTTGAATTGGGTCACATTGCCCCAAATACAAATGATCATTATCTTTTTAGATGAAATTTGCCAACTGTCAGGAGCAAATTTAAAAAAAAAACATAGTTTGAGGGGCAAAGTGAAACAATCTTCCGTTAAATTGATAACGGACTTTAATTGGGACGATATGAAATTCATCACATAGTTGAGGGTAGAATATGAAAAATATCATAGTTGGAGGGGTAATGTGAACAAAGAGTCATAATTAAGGGGTGAAAGTGTAATTTCCCTTTTTTTTTGTTTGTAACAGTTGAAATTAAATCAAATGAGAAGCTATCCCCGAATAAGCAGTCATAGTTACCTAAAGTAGGCGAGCCATAAATAAATGACGATGGTCTGTCGCTTAGGAAATGTACTCCTGATGTTTTCTCAAATTCTGAAACGTCTTCAGTGTCATAGGGAGCACAAGGATAGAACACGCCGTACTTCTTTTGTCGGGTAGCAACATCCTCTTCTTCTGGCTCGAACACAAGGTGGATACCGCACTGCTTCACATGAAAATCAAGACCAGTACCTACTGAAACACTTACCTCATCACCAGCTTCCAAGTGATCCCCAAGTCCCCAATTGCTTGAATATATCATATTTCCACCATCTGGTGGGACGACGAACCACAATGGACCATAGATCCATTTGAAACGCTTGGTCTTATTATTGATTTTGATAACTAACGCTTGAGGTAACGTAGCTCTTTGATCGCGATATGCGTTGCGTTCGAAGTCGTGTCGAAAATATACAGAGCACAAGTTCAGGCCCTGCACCCTAAATCCTGGACGTGAAGGCACGGTAAAAGATATTGAGGACCCGTCATTTTTATGGCTATACACCCCAGGAACCTTTCTCCCAGAAAAAAATACGTTGTCTATACAATATTCACGCAATACCTGTGCCACGGAGATCATATTTGTAACTATGTGCTGCACATACCACACACAGAGAGAGAGAGAGAGAGAGAGAGAGAGAGAGAACCTGGATGGTCAAGATCTTTGCGTGACACAGCTCAAAGTTTGCCATTTTCACCAAGTTTTGCAAGCCCAAAACGTTGATTGTGTCCTCATCAACTCTTTCTATCGGTTCTAATATGAAGCTGTCCCACAGCCCAAGGAACTGGGGCGCCGTCGATTCCATACTCCATAGCAAAGCTGACCAAAATGTTATTTTCTCCACTGATGGGCAATCTGAGATATCCAGGCTTTTCACAATTGGGACTCCTTCAAGCGATCGAAGCCGTGTACACCGTCGAAATTCAAGGTTCTGGATCTTTCTAAGACTTTTGACGCAATTTGGTAGCCTTGTAATTGGATTATTGCTTAGATTTAAGTGCTCTAGTGAAGATAGATTATTATAATCTCTGGGAAAAACAACATCAGAAAGATTGCAGCCTTCAAGACTCAAGCTTACCAAAGAGCTTGGTAAAGATGCCCATGAAATTTCTGGATTTGTTCTCGGCTTCAAAACTTCAGAACAATCAAACGCATGCTGTGATTCAACCTCCCAAGTGAAAGGGAGTAATCTATCTATAGCAATCCCATCAGCGTGAAGCACTTTTAAAGAGTCCATCTCCCTTAATTCTGCCGGAAACTTACTAAAATTTGAACAACCAGAAATAATGAGTGTTTCAAGACATTTTAGCTTAGTAATGCTTATTGGAAGTCTCTGCAGTTTTTTACAATCTTTCAGATTCAATACGACAAGCTGCCTTGCATTTCCAATGGATTCGTGAACTTCCACTAAATTTTTACAATCTTCAAGAATCAGTGTCTCAAGATTAGGGAGCGTCGAGATGTCTGGAGTTCTGAAAAGATTATGGGAATGACTGAGATCAAGGATTTTCAATGATGGAAGAAACTGTAAAAGAAGAAAAGGGAAAAAAAATGGAAACTTAATTTACACACACAAATGATTAATTTCCTGAAGAAATTAATGAAGAAGAAGAAAAATGAGTACCTTGGTTTCCATCCAAACTTGTTCCAAGCTGCTATATTGTAACTCAAGAGCCACCAAGCCCTGCAAGGGAAAATTACAAGGTATATATTTAAGATTGAAGCCATGCCAACATAACCATCTTAGTTTTTTGGGAAATTCTTCATAGCATCCATCGTCATTAAAGGGCACATAGTTGAGTTGGTGCAGTTTCAGTTTGCGCATCCTGGCAAATGTGTCAATTTCCAAGGCCACCTCATCTGAATTCCCTTGATCTGATGACAATTGTTTGTCAAGAAGTTCATCATTATGGTATTTGCTTGCCTTATTAATGGTAGAGAATGTTCTAGCTAGCTTATCTCCCCGGAATATATGCATGTCGACAGCAAGGCCTTCGATAGTTTCTGTGCCCTGATAATGAAAGAGAGAGAGAGAGAGAGAGAGAGAGAGTTAATGAGAAAGGATACAAATGAAAATATCACTTGAGGAGAATGTTCCTTACAATTTTTTCAATCAGCACATCAATGGCATCACACTGCCATAGTCTGCTACGTTTCTCAGGATCACCGGTCGACTCTTGGCATACAATTTCCCTTCCCATATCACGAAGCAATTGATGCATGCTTAGCTTGTCACATTCATCAATCGTTAAGATGCAACTCTCCACCAGATTTTCAATTCCATCTTTGGTGTGGAAATTGCATCCATCCAATATCACAGTAGTGTTCTTTTTTTCTCTCCCAACAAAAAAACAAGCAATATGGAGGAATAAGTTTTGGTCGTGTTCATTCATCAACAACTCATAACTAATTTTAAGTTTCTCCAAAATTTGACTTTCAGGAATTTTTTCAAGTCTATCTGCTTTACTTTTCTAACAATCAACACTTTTTCCAAATAGAGAAGACCCCAAAACTTTAAGAGCTAACGGAAGACCCGCACAATAGTTTACTATCCTTTTTGTGAGATCTTTATAACTTTCAGTTGGATGGTCTTGTCCAAATGCATGGAAGCTGAAGAGCTGAAGCGATTGATCGTAATTCAACTCTTCCACCTTATACATATAGATTTTAGGAGCCTTCACCAAGTACTCAAGCCTGGTAGTTATGATGATTTTACTCCCCGGAAAAAACCAGTCTTGCATTCCAACCAGTGCATATACTTGTTCTTCTTCATATACATCATCGAAAACAATCAGGGCTTTTTTAGTAGCTATAGACTTTTTGACCTTAATAATTCTTTCATCAATACTCAACCTCTGTTCCATATTTTGATTTAGCAAATCATAAATAAGCTTTTTTTGAAACTCAACAAGGCCAAGGTCATTAGATTTTTTTGCAAATACTCTAACCGCAAGAAAGTTACTATATTCAAATCTCTCAAAATTTGAGTTGTAAACAGATTTGGCTATGGTGGTCTTCCCAATTCCCCCTATTCCAGAAATCACAGCAATGCCAACATTGCTTGACCCATCTTGTACCCACGAATTTATGTGTTTTACTCGAGTGTGCATCCCAATTAGGCATGGTTCCGTATGCAAGGCTGTCCGTTTGAATTTAGCTTTAATCACTTTAACAATTTTCTTGATAAATTCTGCTTCATGCCTAGAAATTGCCACATAATAAAAAATAAGGCTTAGTGAACTTTTTTGTGATTTTGACTGAAGTACAAATTATCATGCATATAGAAAAAAAATGAGTAATCACCATTATTTTAATAATGAAATATTGATTCTAGACTGAGAAGTCAACGATCAAAATCAAATCAAAGCGAAAGCGACACTGAGGATTCCAACAACGGAATCAAACCCAATAGAAACTCAAGATCCTCAGGAAGAAAAATAAATAGTTCCAGAACAATATATTAATTATCTGTAAGTTCGAAAGCTTCTTAGTCACCTGATTGAATGAAACCAAAAAGAGAGATTGGATATTTCTCTCTCTCTCTCTCTACTGCCATTCTTGAAAACCAGATGTAACAATTTCATTTTTTTCAATAATTTGGTTTTCCTATATGGTTGTTTGAAGAAATTGGAGAAAAGAAAAGAAATTACCCATCAGCATCATTTTTCAAACTCATCATTCCCAAACCTGTAACCTTTCTAAGAGCTTCTCTCGAGCCTTCCACTTTATCCATTCCACCAGCTTCTCTCTTGAATCTCTGTTCATGTTTTGTGAATGCTTCTGCAAAACTATCAGTTTGTTTCCCGACTTGGGACCGTTCCACATCGTAGAGGACAGGTATAATTATATGTCCAGACGTCTCCTTGTGTTTAAGGATAAACATGAGTTCATCAAGACACCATTTGGATGATGCATAGTCTTTCGAGAAGATAACTACTGAACATCTTGACTTCTTGATTCCTTTCCCCAGCTCCGAACCAAGATCTTCTCCTCTCTCTATCTCATTATTGTCTCGGAATGTGCGAAATCCCGCACTCACCAGAGCTGTGTAGAGGTGGTCAGCAAAATTTTTGCGAACGTCTGCACCTCTGAAGCTCAAGAACACGTCGTAAAAAAATCCAAAAGTGGCATCCATTGAAACAAAAAGTCGAAGAGATTAAGGTTGAAGGTAACTACGGAGTCTTTCTGGCTAAGGAATAAGGGATCATTGTAGAAATATACATACTAGTACTCGCATTTATAAGAAGTAAATGATTGAAGTGTAGAGCAAGTCAACGATTTCCATTATAAAAACCTAAAATCGGTTAATAGAAAACAAATAACTGTCAACACAAGTTTCCTACCTATTTCCTCTCCTCTGTTGTGATCACATTGCTGAGTTTTTTTAATACAAAATGGCGAAGATTATATTTCATCAAATATTCAGCAGCGTTATTGCATGCCAAACTTGATTAAAAAAAGAACAAAAATAGAAAATGTCTCCTACAAGTCTTGTCCACTAATTACAGTTGTCTTTAGTGAGCCGAGAACATAAAATCAAGGGCAATACCAAAATTCTAGAATTCACATTTCTTATGTATTTTTACACCCAGTTTTTACCAATTTTGAATCACAATTAGAGCCTAGAATATAGTCAAACCCTTCGGTTAAAGGGAAATATCACAAAATATAGTCAAACCCTTCGGTTAAAGGGAAATATCACAAATTACCACGTTTTGGGGGTCAAAATACAAGTTTTTGAGATTAAGTTATAGAATGTACAAATTTTTTTAGGTTAAGTCATTGTAAAAGAGTTAGAATTAATCCTAAATCGATCAAGATTGACTCGAATATTATTTCAGATGGATCCTAAAATTTTACGTTCAATACTAACAATCACTTACTTGTGGTAAATTCAACTTAAACTATTGTAACCGAATCTATATATCTAGGATAGGTAATGGATGCCCTCACAAAGTCAACCCAATTTGAAGAAAACAAACACAAATCCCACCATTAGTAGTATAATATATATAAGGTTGAAATACTTCGGATCTCTGGATTCAACTGAATGCCACCAAGAATTATATTATTTGTTTTAATTTAATTTCTGAATTACAATTTGATCCATAGTGATTCTTCTGTCCAAATTTACCTTTTAACTTTTGCAAAAATCATCACGTGACTTTTGAATTATACCCTAATTTCTGATTCACTTGATGTTCACATGAAAATTTTCTTCAAAATTAATAACGAATTTTGACAGAAGAGTCATATTGAATCAAATTGCATAGTTTGACAATTAAATTGATAAAATAATAATTTAAGAGGTTCATCGAAAGAAATGGTATAGTTTAAGGGTTGTGCAGATAATTAACTCCAAAAACCCTGAAGAAACCCCGAGGAACTTTCAGTAGTCACATGGGTGGAGGTCGCGAACACTTAACTCACATCACTTGACTACTCCCTGGCACTTTGGATTCTGTGTTAGTTGTACCTGGCAATCATTTAGCATATTTTAATCTGAGAAATTCATTGACTAAACCATTTATCTAGGGCAGGCAATGGGCGTCCCTCACAGAATCAACCCAATCTGAACGCATGACACTCAAACCCCAACAGCTCTATTCTAATTCTATAAACTAAAACCATTAAAATTTAATTTACTGACGTAATTTGTTGATGTAATTCACTGTGACTTTTAGTTTTACTGTAGACCTCATCAAACAATGAATTTTGATATTGATCCAATAATTCCTATAAATAACAATGTATGCAATATATTGTAATAATCTGACAACTCTTGCCTCTTCAATCTTTAAATTC